CACACACACACACACACACACACACACACACAGAGAGAGAGAGAGAGAGAGAGTCGTAAGTAGATTGGGGGTTTAACTGATGCCACCTGTTACTTCCTGGTCCCTCTTTTATTTCGTCCACCCTTCCTTTCCCCATCTCCTTCCACCTTCTCCAGTCTCTCCAGCTCCCCCAGCCTCCCGGCGCCTTCTCTGTCACCTGCTGCCACCTACCAACTCTGGTGATCTCTTCTCACCTCCCCACCCTCTCCTTCGACCTCCCGCTACTCCCATTGCCTCCCAGATCCCGTGCCCCAAGTTCCCTTTTGCCACCCCCATGATGGATCAAGCATGGGGGACAATGTTATATATGTATATGAACTTTTGCATTTGCGAGAGAGAGAGAGAGAGAGAGAGAGAGAGAGAGAGAGAGAGAGAGAGAGAGAGAGAGAGAGAGAGAAATGACCCGCTCACATCCTTGAAATTATTTTTCAGTTCATGTTCAGAAGCACTTTGTGAAAAGAATGCTGCATTTACCAAAGGCGTTCATATTGTTGTGCATTGAACTTGGACGAATGAGAAAGGGAGTGAAGAAGCTATTCGTTTAAATCTCAAAAATGACAGAGAAGCATAGGGTTAAGGAGGAACTGAAGGTGGACCAAGAAGGGAAGGTTATGTTATCGTTCGATCTGTTGTGGTGGGGAGGAGAGATCTGGAGGATGGGTGGGAGAATTCAATCTTCTATGGAAGGCTGGGATATGGAACTATGCTATCACTTTATCTTTTCAGAGGGGACTGGAAGGGGAAGGTATATCGGGAGGAGCTGAGGGAGATGCGATGTGCAACTGATCTTTTGAGAGAGACGTAAAGAAAAGGTAATGGAGAGAGGATGGGAGCTAATATGGTCATGTTCTTCATTGTTCTTTTCAGTGAAAGAGGTAGGCAGGTGCGTGCAATAGGTGATTTGCAAACGCTCGCATGCTCTCATGCAATTCTCAACGGCTCAGCGCTCTCTTTATTTTTTTTATTTTTTATTTTTTATTTTTTATTTTTTATTTTTTATTTTTTATTTTTTATTTTTCGGGGTGAAGCCGCTATAGGGGGCAAAGGGGGAAGGCAGTTACAGTAGGAGGGGGTAGGAGGAGATGAGAAAAGGGGGCAGAGCTGCGGCAGGAGTGTCCGAGGGGGAGTTATCATGATAGGAGTGGTAATGGGGGAGGTAGGTGTGATAGGAGGGAGGGAGGCGAACGAGTGAAAGAAGGGGAGAGGTGCTTGCGATGGAGGGGGAGGTGGTTGCAATAGGGGGAGGGGGAGGGGGAGGGGCAGCAGAGAAGGAAAATGGTCATGACAGGCAGGAAAGCAGTTCTGATAGGAGGGTGAGGCTGGAAAGCGCAAGAGGGGAAAGCGTGAAGGGGAAGACCCCGTGATACGAGGGGAAGGGAGAAGGAAAAGGGTGGAGGTAGTCATGATAGGAGGCGCACGGGGAAGGAAGAAGGACTAGCATGGCCATGTGTGAGGACCACACGCGTGAACTGAGAAATGATCCAAATCATCATTAAAAAAAAAAAAAAAAAAAGGAGGGGAAGTCTGGAGAGTTCAGCCTGTCTTCTCAATGCACACTGCATAGTGTCACGACGCTGTCAGAGGATGACTGAGGAGTGCCTATCACAGAGTCAGACGTCAGCTTGCATGTGTCCTTGGGAACATCCATTATGATTGGAACGATACAGAGAAGGTGAGCAAGGCCCCTGCGCAAGGATGACACATAAATTGAGAGAGGGGGTCCAAATCACAAAAAGATGCTGCCTTGAATATCAGCAGGTGTATCTTTTTGAGTTTATCTCGGTTTTCTGTCGTCCATTTGTTCGTGGACTGCTTTCCTGGGTGCCCAGGACCTAGGGACCTGCCTGGCAGGGTGTGCCCGGTTGGGCGGGACTCTGCTTTGGGTCACTGGGCGACCTCAGCGCCTCCTCCCTCCCGCCATCTACCTCTCCTTCCTCAGGCCACTTGCCTCCCTCCTGCCGTCTACCAACCACCTCCCTCCCTCCATCTACGTACCTACCCCCCATTGCGATATATCTACTTCCCACCGCAGTCGACATACCCTGCCTCCCTCCCACCATCTCTCTCTCCTCCCTCACACCATCTTGTTCCCTCTCGCCACCCACCTCCCTCCCCCCTCCCTCGTGCTGTCTAGCTCCCCCCTTCCCTCCTCACTCATGCTGTCTCCCTCTTCCCTCCTCCCTCGTGACATCTCCCTCCTCCCTCCTCTCTACCTCTCTCCTCCACCGCTACATCTCTCCCCTCTCTCCTCTCCATGATATTCACCTGTCTCCTCCCCCGTGCCATTTCCCTCTCACCATTTGCCTCCCTCCCGCCAACCCAACCAGCACGCTTAAAAAAACAGAAGACCCGGGGTCTACCCCCCTCCAAAAAAAAAACACAAGACCCGCCCGAACGTTCCTGAGAGCTAACTAGCAGTGTGGCACTGCAAAGACGGACTGTCAGGCAGGGACTGTCAGGCAGTGGACGAAGACGTGACGTATGTGACAGTCATGGGTAAGCTCTGCATTCACCATCTGTTTGTCACAGATGGTGACTGTTACCTGCATTGTTATGGACCTTCAAAGAACTCTGTTTGTCATGGATCTTCAAAAAACTCTGTTTTACATCAGTGGGACGCTGGCTGATTGTCGGTATATCATATTTTCTTTGCCACACTCCAAAATGTGCAAAGCATCGTAGATTGACAAACCATACTGCCCTTACTTCTAGTGGTGATAGAAAGGTAGGAACAATTATCATTCTCATTAACCACCACTCCCCCCGGCGTCGAAAACTTGGCTTTCTGGGACCTTCGGAGGCCGGTAGCCCTGAAAAAGCGGAGTTGAACGGCAATTCAAGCGGAGGTCGGCAAAAAAAAAAAAAAAAAAAAAAAANTTTTTTTTTTTTTTTTTTTTTTTTTTTGTTTGTTTGTTTAACAAGGGGATGATGCTTCAATCTATTTGTGGGGGGAGCAACACCGTTGGGAACCGGGCCCAGCGTCCCTTATCAGAATGCAGAAAACATAAACTACCCAGGCCATTAACCGGCGGCTAAAGACAACTGGAGAAATGAAAGACTCAGGAATGGTCATAATCTTTCGGGAAAAATATTAGAAAAATATAAATAAAATTGTTTAGATGGTGAAATTTTGTCGCGCTGATTTGCTGCATTTTCCTTTTTTGCCACTCTACACTTCACCTTGGTTTTGCCTCTCTGCCACCTGCGGCCCAACAGATAAGTACTCCAACTTCGTCGATTTTTCACGCTCAGGAAAAAAATCTTTCCAGATCTGGAAGAGTCGGTCATGATCTTCCCAGGGAAAACATCACCAAAAGAAAAAAAGTTCAGGCCTGCGTAGCACATCGAACATCCCAACATGTTCGGACGCTTGGCCGAACGGGAACCGAACATGTGTCGGCTGAGTGCCAAAAAAAAAAAAAAAAGACCCCCAGTTTCCTCGTGTGTGTGTGTGTGCATGTGTGTATGTTTATGAGGGATGGGCAATGCTCCCTGGAGGGCCCCCCAACCCCTATATATATATATATATATATATATCGTCACAAACAGAATATATATATATATATAAAATCAGGGTTGCCAGGCTGAACGTACAGTGACCGCTAAGCTGACCCCCGAAGATTCGGGCGTTCGGGTCCCCGTACGGGGCTCGAACCCGAAGGGGTTCGGACCCCGCAAAAAAATATTTTGGCACCTAAATATTATTGCTTTTTTTTTTCTTCTGAGTTCTTTGTGATGTAAGGTATCTCTCTTTTAGTTTTGAAGCCAATCTGTTTAGTCAAAAAAAAAAAGAAAAATCTGCAAAGATTGTGGTGTCAAAACTTGCTCGCCCACTCACTAATTTGTTTCTCTCTCTTTTCACTTTTTGTTTTTCCTTTATTTCGGGGCATGAAGAAAATCATTATTTTTTTGATATTTATTTGTAAATTCTCTATTATGTAAGAAATATATATATAAATTTTCATGGCATTTGTCACAGCCAAAAAAAAATGAAAAAATGCCAAAGACGGTGGTGTCAAAAACATGCTCGCCCACTCAATAATTTCGTTCTCGATTTACTTTTTTTAATTTTTATTATTATTAATTGTTTTTAGTATTTGCTTTTTATTTCAAATTTGGTAAAGAATTTGGACGTAAAGTTGGGGCAAATATTGTTTAGTTTATCCTTTTGCATAACGTATATTTGTTTCAGATTTTTTGGAATTTTTTTTTTTTTCCTTTTTTTTTTTGGGTTCATTTTCGGCCGAACGACGGAACGTGGCAAGAGGGGGTGCCGAACGTTCGAGCATTCGGGTTCGGGCGTTCGGCCGGTCCCAAACGCCGGCAACCCTGTATAAAATAATAATAATATTAAAAGTGGTCGGGCTCAGTTGATTTGGGGCCACATTCGAGCTCTCAGTACCGAACGTTCAGGTTCGGTCACCAAGCCCTAACGCGATGCTACACAGGTTTAGGCAGTGAAATAATTGTCGCGCTGATGCGGCAAAAATTTCCATTTTTGCCACTCGACTGGTTCTCCACATTGCAGTAACCGGTAGCTCTC